GATGTTTAAAAATTTTTTCGTTGAATTTTAGTTTGTAACCCATCAAATTTTTGAATATTGTAGCGTCTACATGACTATTTAATTTGTCTGTAATTGTCCAAAAAAAGCGAAACAAATCTGGTTTACCAAAACAGGTCTTGTATGTTTTCATTTGTTATAAATTGCACTTTTTTATAAACCTTGTGGTCATTGAGCTACCTCTAAATATCAATATATCAAGTTCAAATTTCTTCTGTAGTAATTTGAGACCAGTTGGAATAGTTCTGGAGCCTAGGACCACAGAAAAGTAAGCGATTTATTTTTCTCCTATTTTAAGCACCATCCTAGTTTCAGGTTTTGTTCTCCTATTTTAAGCACCATCCTGTTTTGTTCTCTCACCTTGGGTCAGTATGACCCAAGGTGAGAGAACAAAACAGGACAAAACAGTTTTACGTGTAGAGATTTCAATAACACAGAATTCTACATGATCTATCAGGAGGCTAAGCCGAAAGCGCCATGAACAACCAATAGTGTGGAAAATCCTCCAATACAAACTCAGAAAACGTGCATATTATGTCCAAGTGTTGAAAAAGCTAGAAGAGGACTGTGCTGTCCGCCAAGAAATGTGTCATGATATCTTGGATTCTGTGAAACAAGAGGTTCGCTAGTCAGTTGATTAATGGAATAAGACAACACAATGATTCGACGATCTGCCACAGACATACCTCCAGGAGAACTTTCTAAAGAAACTGGCTGCTATTTAAATATAGACACGTAAAGAAAACCCGAAAAACTCCCCGTTGCTGAGGCACAAATATATGACCAATTACCTGTAGTGTTTAGTGGTTTTATTCATGAAAAAAGAAAATTTGATGGTACTTCCACATAGGTTAATTTACTCAAAAGTGCACAATCCATAACGATTCTTTCTTCTTGGGTCAGCATGCTTCACACGACTGCAAACAAATGATTTTGTTAAAATGGATCGAGACTTTATGATCACTCTAAATTTATATTATTAAAATATACAGAGTGTCCCGAATATTTCCAAAATACAAAGGTGAAATGTAGCTTTATTTTCAAAACGTTAAAATGTCAGAATTCAGATTTGTGTCAGTGGATTGACGGAGTTCGGCAACGGAATACATGGGTGATCTGCCAATGGAGTAACTTGTAGCAGTACTTCCTATGCAGAATCTGAATTCTGTTTAGGTGTTAGACACATGCAGAAAACCCGGAACACTGCATGGTGACCAGCCCATTGTTCAGGCACGAACCAATGACCAACTACCAGTTTTCAATACTTTTATTTATTCGGCCACTTGTGAGTTTGATTTGTGTCAGTGTATGGAGACTTTTGGAAAAATATTACACTATATACTTTGTATATTTAAAAAACTATATTACAAGTTTATATTTAATACTGTTTTAAAATTTATAGATTAATATGGAATTCATTGCAAAATCACTACAAATTAATGTAATGTTTATAATTTTATTTAATAAATTAATGTAAAATTTTAATGAGATATACATTATTACAATTTTTAAAATACGTTAAATGAAAATAATTTTTAATTTTATTTATAATCGTTATTTTAATTATTTAATAGAATAAAACTCTTTAACAATATTTTTTTTAATCTGTGATATTTTGATAACGAATCTATTGGTGAATACAAAAACCATTTTATTCATTCAAATATTTAAATAAATAATTCTAAAATTAAATTAATTTTTGATGTATAAAAATTAAATAAATATTCATGTCATGTAAACTTAATGCGATTTATTAAAATTCATAAGGTGTTAAATAAAATATGTAAATTTTATTACTGTCAAAATATTACGCAGTTTATTTTCTTTTTAAAAAACAGTTCAAGTGAAATTTATCTTTTGTATGAATTTTATTGAAAATAAAAATATATTTATTTATATATTGCTATAAATATTTAATTTTAATTTAACAATAAATCAAAATATCCAAAATTTAACTATACATTAATGGACTTAATGATATTATATTAATTTGCAATAAAGCTAATTCTATATAATTATGTTGTCTACATGAAGAACTATACAATAAAGTCAACAGAAAATGTTATTCATTATCATATGCATTAGCTTTATCCTTCTGATTGATTATCAAGTATAATTGACTCCTGATAATGATATCATTAAAGTGGTAAAGTGGATTAATGATGCCAAGACAGTACAATCGATTAAGTTCAACGTTTGTCTTTGTTTAAATCTAAACATGTAGATTAAAACTTTTATTAAATATAAAAAAGAAAATAAGTTTTAAAGCATAAAAATTTAAATATAATTTGATTATTACATATAGGAATTATTAAATGCATTGTTATTAATTTAAATAAGGGCAATATTCAGAGATGAATTTAGACTTATTGTAGCCCTAAGCTATTACATATAAGAGGACTTTTTCTGTCTACTAAATAATAAATAATTTAAAAGAGAAGGCTCTAAGCTGGTAACATGAGGTCTAAAGATATCGTTTGTTTAGCTTACTTGTAAATATAGCATTAGCAATATTATTATGCTAGTTTATTACACAAATAAATTAGTCTATTAATTATGTAGGAAGTAATTTAAATAAATTATAATTTATTAAATAATGAAGCTTTTAAACTATTTTCTAGAGCAGACTTAAACATAAAATTATAATAAAATCTAATTTCGTATAATGTATAATAAACTTAATTTTTAAAGTTAGGTTACTTATCTCCAAATATTAATAACTTATATATACTTGCATCCATCTGGTCATTCATTATAAGTCAGTATAGTTTAAAGTAAATTATATAAATCTCATAGTAGATTTAAATTTGCATTCTTTTCTTAATGATGTATGCCATATTTAAAGACGTTATTGAAGAATAATTTTTCAATTAACTTTCAAATAGCAATGATTTGTATATCGTACCAAAAATAAGTCTTCATTTTAATTTTAAAATAAATTCACTTTACAATAGAATCTATAATTCTTTGGATTTTAATCAATTTGTCCAAACTTTTTTGTTTTAAATTTACTCTTTCGAATCGTTTATAACATTACAAAAATTGTTTTTTTTTTCTTTGTAACGAATTTAATTTTAAAAAAATCTAATAACGAGTTACGTAACTTTTCCAGTAACATTTAAAACTGCGTATGTTGCCATCTCTTATGATATNAATTTAAAAAATTAATTTTAAGGTTTTCAGCGCCGTCGATCGTGCCGGTTTGATAGACGACATATTCATGCTAAGCAGGTAAGTTCGTTCGAGTTCATTAATAATGTTTATACATGAAATTCGTTCAACGTGTGGTTATTTATTTCAGAGCAGGAATTTTACATGCTTCGTATATTTTCGACGTCGTTAAATATTTAAAAAATGAAAAAGAATATGCACCTTGGAAGATAGCTTTAAGTCATTTTCATGATCTACTAATGCTTTTAGAAGATGATTCGCATCTGTTACTTATCCAGGTTAATTCTAAATTTAAGTGTAAATTAATAATATTCGTAAATTTTAACTAAAATTTTCTATTTATTAGAATTATTTTTCAAGTATACTTGCATCAATTATAACCGAATTTTCAGACTGGAATGAAGAAGAATCTAACCAAATGATGTAAGTTGGCTTCTTGACGATATTTTACATTTAATTTAAATAATTTTAACATGAAATTTTTATTTAAAACATAGAAAATTACGTACATCCGTCTTTCTTTCCGCTCTAAAGATTGAAAATGTGGATATTATTCAGAAATCTATACAAATGTTTCAAAACTGGATGGATAGAGACGAACCGTGTTAGCTTTTTCTCTTCTGAATTTCTAGTTTTTTTTAAATATTATTTTAATGTTTATTATTTATTGCTAAATATTATTTGATCCAAGTCAATTTATGAATAATTTATAAGTAATTTATATTCTTAGAGGTTAATCAAATTTAATTATCACTAAATGCTCTAAGTATTATTAACTTTTGCTGTTTGTTTCTTAAACTACAAAAACTAGATTTATATAAAATTCCAACATTCTGCATTCCTAAAATGTCTTAGATCAACATAAATTCAAGTGATGTTGCCATTTGTTGGCAATTTATTATAATTAATTGCTTGATTTAACTAGATAAATAAAATATAAACGAACCCATCAACTTTGTTTTAAAATATTTCTGATCCTACAAGTTAAAATGTTAATGAAATTCTTGAAAGTAATTAACTTTTCAAACTGTTAAACAAAATGGCTAATAATTAAAAAAAAAAAAAAAACAATTTTCCTCGGGACTTATTCAAAATTTTTTATTTCATAATAAATTATAATTTATAATTAACTTTATAATATTATTTTTCTTTACAAAAATTAAATTTTATTAAAATAAATTTAAACGAAATAAAATTTTTTTGACATTTATTTAATTTTACATCATGTTGTTCAAAGGAGTGCTCAGGATGACGCCAATGATTCTATGGCACCATCAATTGACTAGTAATTTAGAAGAAGAAAATTTACCGAACAAATGGTGATGTCACAACACAACTAGTATCATT